TGTACCAAAGATGCGGTGTGGAATCAAGCTGTAATCAAAAATCAAATCAATTATACGACAAGAATAAATTCCTTGATAAAAATACCCCGTTTATTGCCACTATCTGGTCTCCTTGATAGTTAGGAACATTATAGCTAGACGTGATTTGTGCAGTGGGTGCACACCTTCCTCATGGTTACATTTAGACCAAGCGTACAAGTATCAAGAAACAACTAATCCGATTTCAGGACCGTGTGTCCATTAACCTGCATCATTTAACAGAAGATCAACTATTTTTTACTCCATGAAGATTCCTACAAGAATACGTATTCAGATATTTTTAAGATAAAGACGTGAACCATTCGAAAGATAGAAATAAACCCTTGGATCAGCTTCAGTCTTAGGTGCTTTACTGGAAGCAGATGATTATGATAATAACTTTGAGTTCAGAATAATTAAGATATATGGCACTTTTGTTGGTATTAGATGGTTGGAGGCAATCGGCAGGGAGCCTTGGTTTCGTGCTAGTTGGCACTCATCAGCAATGCGTATAGAAAACCTCGAAGGAACTCATGTCCCTTCTGATTAATGCCAGCTAGCACGAAACCAAGGCTCTCTGCCGATTGCCTCCAACCATCTAATACCAACAATTCAGAGTGCACCGTGATGGCGAGCCACCTAGCATGGTGGCCACATTGCAAACTTGATTGATAGAATTCAGTCTGCACAAAAGTTAGGACTAGACGCATTACACTAGTTACTGACTAGTGTCCAATCAAAAATGTGTCATTTTTGTTGGTTGCAACTGAAATACCCTTTTGATTATAGATTAAGAACTATTTTAATTAGAAGAAAACTAAGATTCCCTATCTCTTTAGCATCTTGGATCCTTTCAGTAGGGCTAACAGACGTTCGCATTCTGGAGTAATCAGAGAATTATCAGATTTGACATTTCTTAAGTAACTGCTATCCTTATAATAAATAAACATTTTAAGAAATACGGAAATGCGATTCATGGATTAGGAATTAGAATGACAAAATTTAGGTATTGTGAGTTAATTATGGAAACAGAACGTGACCAATGCGATAAAGTATTTTTTAAAATTTATTCTTATTTTAATTCCTTTATGTTCGTATTGGAACATAGGGCTTCAAGCTAGAGATTTGAAGTTTCGGTTGCAGTGGTGTTTATTTTTACGGGATAGGGTTGCTAGCCTCATGCCCAACCTTCACTCTTTACCAATCTTATTACTGGCTTAGTGAGGTAAACGATCGAACCCCGGACCATCTGGGTGGTTGATGAACATTCTACCGCTGTGCCACCAATGCACGCGATAAAGTATATTTCAATCAAATTTACAATGTCACTGACAGACTGCAAAGTAATCTGCAAACTGTGAATCTGATTTACGGCATCGCCAGTTAACCCAAGTAGCTAGCCAGAAATCGGTTGTCTGGAACTCATTCGGTTGTCTAAGCTAAGGCAAATTGGGTACATCAATGATGAGCTTGACCGCGAAAGAGCGAAACGGCCAATTGGTATTTAGATCACTGCGATATGGCTAGCAAGCGATAAGCGACTACTCGTGACAATCAATCAGTAGTATATAGCTTTATATACTTCAATAATAAGATGATTTACTTGATTAAGGACATATATGATCAAATGTTATTAGCCAGTGACCTTTTAAGAATATTTTATTGGGCTTATAATAAAGAAATTAGGGCGGAATTCAAAAATAAAAAGGGTAGAAGTAATTTTTGTACTTTGATAATTTTATTGACCAAGTGTAACTAGATATTTTCATGTCAATTACCACTGCATTGACTATAAGGTCAGACTGGTCGATTCAGGTCACTTAAGTTTTCAGTGTTACACTAAATGAGTTATCATGTTAGGCAACTTATATAATAAACCTTTAACTCTTTAATTTGTAGGTTAGCTTAGGATATCTCATATAGCGTAGACCGTTTCTTTGTTACTTGAGAGGTTTATAGGAACCAGAGACTGATTTTTATTTAATGTATTCACTAAATAGAATAAAGAGGAGCAGTCCATTCAAGTGTATATGGTCGAAAGTGAACTACGATGGTTTGTGCAATTATCACTTAGCTACAGATAAAGAAATGCTTATTGATTATGTCTTTTTAAACACATTTTCATGCACTTTAAGCACTATTCACTATACAATGCCTAACTTTCAAATCAGTAAACACATCAGGTTTCCTTTGATTATCATTTTACTTTATAAACGTTCCATTTTACCCTGTATAAGAGTTTATTCGCAAGTGAAAGCAACCAAACTAAGCCTCTCATGAAACATTCTCAGTAATCCCATGATGGGAAGTTTTTACCAAGCAATTTATCTTCTTTATAACCATAAATCGTCCATCTATAAAATACTTTATTCATGTCAACACCTGCTGAGCTGTTAATTATCATGATGCTTTATCAATAAAAAATAAAAAATAGAGGACTGAATCACACAATACAATATTTTATTCACAATTACTCGCAGATAAAAATGTCAAACCTGACATAAAATCAGTTAAAGGAAATAATGATTGCATTTCTGCATTATTACTATTATTCTTACTTATTATTATTCTTTAAAGTAGATGGCAATCAGTATTTCTTCTTATTGTATCGATTCTATTACCTATACAGAATATAAGAAATAAATATAAACAGATACATGCTATCTTTTTTCGTCTAACTGAATTGAAATGTTTGTCTGAAAAGTAGAATTTCTATGTTGCAGAGAAAGTAGGTGTTCCAATGATTCCAGTTTACCTTATAATTATAGATTTTTGTACTACTCGTCCGGTGGGGGTTTAACCTTTCATAGTTGGTACCTAATCGTATTTATAGCTCCCTCTCAATATTCATACTGTGATCAGAAACTAACAATCACTTACTTAATTATTATTATTATATATTATTGTTTCCTTTAATTCCTAGAGGAACATAGGGCTTCAGCCGTGCGTCTCCATTGCGTTCGGTTCTCTGCTAGAGTCTTCACCTGGCTCCAAGTCTGCCCACACGTTTTCATCTCCTCTTCATATGACCTCCTCCAAGTCACCCTTACACTGACGACCAACTCGTCGCTTCCCTTTCGGGTTCCACTCGAGCAGTGGCTTGTCTAGTGATGTCACTTGATGGTTTCCTCAGAGTATGGCCAATCCATCTCCATTTCTTCCTGCCTATTTGTTTCACAATCGGATCCTGGTTCCTGCCAGAGATTTATTGACAGATTTATTCAGTCTCACAACAATTCAGGGTTGTGCACACTTCTTAAAGCATTCCTGACCTGTTTTGTTTGAAGTTTCCTTCAAGTAATACAACATGCTATCACGATGCTTAATGGAGAGCACAGCATGCAAGCCTGTAGTTCCGTAGAGGCCATTTTCGTGTTTCTCTGCTTTATTCCATGAAATGTGAGCTGTATTCCATGTATTTTGTTCATAAACCTAGGCAGCTTGACATTCCAGCTAGTATCTTATGTTATTAAGTAGATGGAAGCAATTGAAAGTTATGCTGAGATTGGTTAGAATAATATTTTAATTTACGAGGTGAATTTTACTCTTCACAATAATCGTATTCAGTATAATATGTATTCATAAGGTAACATTTATTTTAAACTTTTTTGATGCCTAGCATTTTAATGAATGGTAAATTAAAGCATAGTATCTAGTGCTCTTTCAGATGCTATTGTTCATTTACTTCCTCTATGTCATCGTATTTATGAGAGAGTGTTTTGAAACTTCTGTATTTCTTGAATACCTAAACATTTCTATGAGTGCATAATTTCTGCATTATCTGCGTTCTACCCATTTTAGTGTTTAATCTTTTGACCAGACTTCCCATGGTCCTATTTCTACTGACCATCATCCTGCTGGCACTGTGAAGCTTGGCATTTTTTTAAAATCTTTTCCATATAAACAACACCAATGTCAAGATTGCAACACTGTTGGATAGCTTTCGCCAACCACACACACACACACACACAACGACACTCACCGCACATACCGTTCTCAGCTGGAAGTTAAGTCTTTTAGTCTGGTAGCTGTTTTACACAGCTGCCAACGGAAATTTTATTTCAGGATTTCATCATGAATTGACATTGGTTAGAGGGCTATCGGAAAACCTGGGAGTACTGGGCAGCTGTTTCGTCTTAGTTGGGGACTCTTCATCAGTACGCACCCGCTGATGTTCGAACCCAGGACTTTATGGTTACAAGGCAACCTCATAGACCATAAACCCACTGGGACCCGATCCAATGGTCCATGAATTCTAAGTTCTGCCAATTCACGATATGGCACGACCACTAGCGAATGTCATCGGTGGCGAGTGTTTGTCCTCACGCCCGACTTGCTGCACCTCACTGGTCCTCTAACCCTGCCAGTTCATGATGAAATCTTGAAACCAATCAAATCCCTTCAAACAACACTTCAATAGAAATTTCACTGGTGTCCATGCAAATAATCAAGGCTCAGTGGAAGCACACGGTACTTTATTAACAAAGCTACTAACAACTAAGCTACTTTTACCATATTTGTTGATCGTTTAACTCTCATCCTTTAATAAAAATTCTCAGTTTTCATTCCGCTGGTAATGGAATATCGATTGTAACTTTCTGAATTCTTTTCTCATCCTAATTTTGTCGAATATCAAAATGTTCTTAACTTTAAGTCAATGTAAACAGTTTAGGAGGGAAATACTATACACTGGGTTCATACGCATTAGTATAATGTTCATATAACCTATTCAAAAGAACCTGAAATGGAGATTCAGGATTAAAATGCTAGTTGTTTCAAAATTAATAAAAAAAATCCTTGATGAATATTATGGAATCCTGCAAAACACAATAAGGTATGCTCATCATCTTATGACTTGTATTTGCCAATTATTATTTGAACTACATAGACAAGATTCAAAATTGTTTTCTTCGCATCACTATTGTAAAAGCTTTGCACTGGAAATATTAAACAATCTGCCTTAATTCTTTCCATTTTTACAGATTTGCTTCTGTATTTGGATGCCTTGTCCTAAGCGTGTTATCCACTATTCATGAATATACAGAATCGGCTGGAAGAATTTTATTATATATGGTAAGTTACACTATACTATGTTATTTTAGTATTTTTAATTTCCGATAAAAATATCATATAAACATATATATGCTGCGAATTTATTCTAAGAAGAAAGTTCATATTTCAGGGGAGGTAAGTTTGTTCGTTACCAGTGCTTGTGGCTTAAAATTATCGATATCTAATCATAATAGAAGCTGAAGTTCAGTTAAGACATATTAGTATGAACAAGACATATAAGCGAACAATATTGTTTTCAGTTAGATCTTCAGGCTTTACTCTAAATTACATAGATTTATATATAAAATTTTAACCAATGACGGTGATTTTAGGAATCAAATAATAATAAAATGTGGTAAAGTTTGAAGAAATTAATAACGATGATTATAATGATAACAAAATATTGATAATAAGGTTTATGCAGGTGATAAGAATAACGAAGATAGTATATGTATCTAAGTGTATAAATGGGGACGTGGCTAGTGAAGTCTTACACCTGAGATTATCGAGAGCGATAAAACGGACTTATACTGCCGGCACCCTTTGTTTGTCATTTTCCAGCCGACCAATTTTGATTGCTCAAGTGAAAGATAAGCTACCTAGCTGTGTCACTTCAATGTGTATATATAAATTTAGTTGCTCCTGTGGAGAAAGCTATATAGGGCGAACAACTAGACAGCTCAACAAACGCATTAATGAGCATCTTCCTTTATGGTTCGGAAAAGGTCAAATAAAATCCATACGAAGTTCTATTTTTGCTCATTTGATTGATAGCGGTCACCAAGTGGACGAAAATAGTGCCTTCAAAGTTATCTATCGCATTCCATCGAGTCTTTCGAATAGAATCAGAACCCGTCTTTTACACCTAGCCGAAGCTATGGGAATTCGAGAGAACAATCCTAGTCTTTGCATACAAAAGAAGTTTGTTCAACCTTTGTCTCTCCCTTGGCCTAGATGAACTGTATTCAGAACCTTCCCACCCTTCCTTATTTTCCATCTCCTTCGTACTTTTATAATATTTATTTAAACTCTGATTATCGTTCCACTTCACCTTTTAAGATTTGACCTAATTTATTTATACACTTATATACTATTTTTGTTATTCCTAATCACCTGCACAAACCTTATTATCAATATTTTATTATCACTATAATCATCGTTATTAATTTCTTCGAAACATTTACCACATTTTATTATTATTTGATTCCTAAAATCACCGTCATTGGTTAAAATTTTATTTATAAATCTATGTAATTTAGAGTAAAGCCTGAAGATCTAACTGAAAACAATATTGTTCGCTTATATGTCTTGTTCTAATATTATAAATGGGAATATTTTAAGACTTTAGCATGAGACGAATATCCTACCTGTGTAGAGGCATGTTGAAGTTCATTAGTGGAACGCAAACATTTTAGGAACACGCGAGTCAGCAAAGAAATTTCCTTTCGCAACTACATATATATATGTATATACAATGTAGATCGGCAACACACGTCGAAGGCTATTGTCAGTGTATGAAAATGTCCCAAAAATCGAGAATAACCTCACGTGGTCTAGAGGGTTGGAAACTAATTAACTAATTTGAAGGGGATAGCAACAAGTTACTACGTAATCAGGAAATTCGTAAAGTAACAATAACTAAGATAAATAGAATGACTAATTAGGATTGTGTAAGATACAAACAAGTTAACTAAACTAGCTAGAATTGCAGTCACAACGAAATAAAGAAGTTTAAAGATAGTTACAAGGTTAGGTGAAAATCTTTTGTAAAACTTGATACACATTATGTAGTTGGCTAGGGCAAAGTAAGCAGCTGGGCGAAATTCTTTTAAACACACTGATTTGGCTTGTTTAGATGATTTCTGATCGCCTCTGCTGTACTAGTAGGGCACGCGAAAGGTTGGGTAAAATACGATAAATAATTTTAAAAGCTTTGTTGGTGCCACCTTGATGTCCCGTATCGATGAGAGGACTGCGTATACCTTTGTTCTGACCTTTGCCAGACTAAGATTAGAAGCGTTCAGAAATTCGACGAAGAAAGTAGCTGATCGTGAGACCAATGTAACAAGCTCCTTAGGAATACACGGATAAATACACACAGAAGAGGCGAAACATGGCAGTTTCTCTTCGAAGAGACAGCATAACTTAACTGAGTTTAAAGTCCTTTGTATTTTACTGATAAAAAATTACGATTCATCAGTACAACCTGGTTATTGCTTAACATTTTGTTTATTGATATAACAATAGAACTGAGACATCGCGATTGAATACAGTTTTAAAATGGAATAATTTTATTTGATAAAAAAACACAGTGATACAGTGTTATTCACCGATGACGTATTATCTGCACATGATGACGAGCAATAAATTATACTCAATAAACTTTGTCTAGATATTCATACTACATCACTGTATGCTTTGATCAGATAAAATTATTATAATATGACACGATATTCTGTTTCTATAACAAAACTATTTGCTTTCACCGAACATACTGTATACAGCTGAAACAATAGTGACGAAATACAATAACAAATGACTATTATTTATTCATATGAACGAAAAGAATTACGCAAACAGAACCTGTGTTGTTATACTTGGATGATTAAATCAAACGAAAGTGCTACGCAGAAAGTAAAGATTGATAGATCGCTAAAAAATCACTCTATTCGTGTGTGTGTAATGCATTCATCATAACTAAATAGCAGATAGTACTTTTTCTGGTCACAATATGACGAAATTGATGAATTAGTCGTCAGATAATTCAGCTGGTGTACATATTATTATTATTGTTGTTGTTATTCACTGTGAGATAAATGTGACAGATCGAATCAACAATTTTCCAGACAGTTAGTTATTCAATGCAACAGTTATAGAAAAGTGTGTATAAATCTTATTTTCGTCTACTCAGAGCTAATCTGCAACCATCATAGGCAGAGAAAAAAGAATGCTACATATTTTGTCATATTTTGCCTGCATAGTGTTAAAGTGAGAAAATTATATTGAATTAATAAGTGTATTGGCAAATGACAATCAATGTGTCAGTTGTTTTAATGCAAAAACGGGGTAATGTGAAGATCAAAAATGTCTAATTCATCATGATACTTTTTCCTGTCAGATTTTACGACAATGTTTTTTTTAAAAATCTTTGAATAATCTACTCAACTGAAATGTTGTCATTCTCAGTCAGAGTTTATTTTCAAGCATACAAACAAACAAATGCCACCTAAAAGATGTTTATAAAGTTTCATTTTATTAATGAAATGATAATTAATAAAGGAATTATTCTGTTGTGCTTACTCAACACCATTCTTTTATTGGATATATAGTGTAGATACGAGGTTATCCGAGTAGTTTGAAAAACCGGTAATTAACGTAAATTTAGAATTCGGCTACGGTCGTAGAATGGAACTCCATATTAGATAAATTTTTATTTGACATAACACAGTGATACACTATTAACAACTGGATGACGTTCCGAGCACAACTTATTCCTCACTATTATATCCATAAAAATGTCTGTTACTACTGGGGATATTGGTGATCTCATCACTACCCCGTTTGTTTATTTATATTTGAGTACAGTTGAGGTCGTATATAACTGAATGCCTAATATTGTTTCCTTAGTCAAGATTTCAATTCTGTTTGCGAGCTTAGGGTGAATGTCTAGTTCATTCCTAACTGCTTCCAGCGCTGCATTTATCTGACTTTCAGTAATCTATTAGGTGCACGACAGATAATGGAAAAAGATTCTTGAAAACTCACCCCTTGAACTGTTTGATCTATATGCGTCATTATCAATCTGTTTGTACTTTATTTAGCCAAACTGGTATATGCACTTGAGCAAAGGCATATGTAACTGGCTGCATAGAAGCAGTTCAGTTAATTGACACAGGAAGAGGTGGCTGGCCTCAGCACTTTATCTTGCAGATTCTTTTTCACAACTGGGAGTATAGAAACATGAGATGCAATTTTTCTGCTTTAATAGTTCTCTGAATTGACCTGCCTAGCTTGTTAGTCACTACGTCACTGAGTATATCATATCCAAATTGCAAATATATGTCTAGTGGCTTCCGGATCGTGAATACACCACAGTCTTCTCTACTCTCGCATCCATATCTTTTCTTATGAACCTATATTCGTAGTTATTTCCAATTGAATACAGTCCTCACTTCATCCCTGCTGATATTTTAGAATATATATAGCTCTCGACCTATTACTAAGTGTTCTTACTAGATTAATGAAGAGGATTAAGTTGTGGAAATGAGTACATCACTCATTTCAGGTACACTGCTTATGTGAATTCCCTCTTAGAGTGTTACCTTCCCCTTTTTGCGAGAGCATGCAATTTTATCCTGGGACTCCTCTCTAAATGCAAATTTTATTAGTGGATATACTTCACTGAAATGAACAGTTATCGCAAATCCTTGGGCACTGTGGTAGTAAGGAAATCCATATTAGTTTGTTTATTAGATATATCACACAGTGAATAATAATAGATAAATAATAAATAATACTGTTTCACTGTGTGATATATCTAATAAACAAACTAATATGGTATCGCAAATCCGTTTTCGTCATTTAGATATGGATGAATGTATCATTCATATTAGATGGTTGGAGGCAATCGGCAGGAAGCCTTGAACCTAGGTTTTGTTCTAGTTGGTACTCACCAGTCAGCAAGGCGTATCTGCAACCTTGAAGGAACTCATGTCCCTTCTGACTGCAGCACTGGGTGACACGAGTTCGAATCTCAGAAGGGACATGAGTTCCTTCAAGGTTGCAGATACGCCTTGTTGACTGGTGAGTGCCAACTAGCACGAAACCTAGGTTCAAGGCTTCCTGACGATTGCCTCCAACCATCTAATATCATCAGATCAATGTGCACCGTGATGGCGAGCTACCTAGACCAGGACTGAATAATAAACTAGGTCGCCTACTACCACCGGTAATCTTCCTAATTGTGGTGGACTAAATCATGCAATATACCGTGGAGGCTGAGCTTACATTGGGTCAACAAAAAGGCCCTACAGAATCAAATTTTTGTGGATGATTTATGTCTTATATCTCAAAACGTTGACGATCTACAGGCAAAATCCAACAAGTTTGGAGAGGAGGCAGCGAAGACAAGACTTCAGATGAAACTAAAGAAAAAAGAGGTGATGAAGATACCTAACCGAAAACAGCAAGCACCAGTTATAATCAACGCGAGAATTCTAAAGAAAGCTGTATCTTTTTCTTACCTTGCAGCCTTGTTTCAAGTGCAGGTGATGTTAAAATCAATCAGGATGAGATTGGGAAAGCGAGACAGACGTTTACTTCCCTAAAATTATTGTGAAGATCTACAACAATTAGCACAAGGAACGTGGTCTGAGTTCTTAGCACTAATGCCAGTTAGGCATTTCTACATGGTTTGTTCACCATCAGGAGCAGTCTTTCATTAAGAGATGCTTTCGTTGGGTACTTTAAGATCGGAAAGGATAAGCACCGAGGGCTCTGACAGGCAACGGACCAACCAAGAACCTATTAGCTGAAAAATATGCAGGATACAATTGAGATTACAAGTTTCCAGGCCGTAGGTGTTACGAACTTCCTGGAATAATTTGAGGGCCGAGTCAATGAAATCACTGATAATTGACAAACACATTGGAGTCCATCTGTTCAATTTGCCACAACCAATTTTCACATACGCACACCCTTAAGCTTATAAAGGGATATTGAGTGTCATTACAATGGACAGTATCAAGTGGAAACAAATATAGTAGTGATCACAGGATTTCATCATCGGCTGACACTGGTTAGAGGACCAATGGAAAACCTGGGAGTACTGGACAGACGTTCAGTCCTAGTTTAGGACTCTTCAGCACTACGCACCCACCGGGGTTCGGACCCACGACCTTCTGGTTACAAGGCAATCTACCTCGTAGACCATTAAGCCACTGGGACCCGATCCAATGGCCAGCCCATGAATTCCAACTTCTGTTAATTCACGACATAGCGCGACCTCTAGCCAATGTCTTCGGCGAGTTTTCGTCCTCACACCCGACCTGCTGCACCCTACTGGTCACGACTTCTCACTAGAACCCCAGGTAACTACCTATCTGAATAGGGCAAGTAGCTAGTGAGCATCTCATTGATATTCAAGTGTTGGTTTGTAGGGATTTGATTGGTTACAGGATTTCATCATGAGCTGACATTAGTTAGAGAACCACTGGAATGGAAATATAGTAGTGATTATATTTCTAAACTAACCTCTCTCAGAAATGCAGTCAGTAATGTTACTGATTCAGAGTGTATGCACATTGACAACACATAAGAATGAATCACAGACTGTACGCTTTCTACATTATTCTTTCAGTTACGTAAATCATTAAAATCGACATAATACTAAATTATGAAAATTGTATTACTTTATTCAATTATCTCGATAGCATCATATGTATCTACTAGCCTCGTATTGAAGTTCATCTACAAATTCCTTCCTTATACAGATGCATTAGAAAGTATTAAAAGTAAGCCAACTAGACAGATGTTTGGTTACTGGATGATTCTTTTTTCTATTCCTATATTCTTCCTTTCCCCCCTCAGACCACCCCCCCCTCCTAATATATGTACATCACTGATTATTTAATCTTTATTTTCCCACCCATTACTACTGGAATTATTCTCGCTTCGCTTTTCTTTCGGAGTAATTTTCATTTCCATTTACTTGCTTTTAAGAAATATATACTTTCAACTTAAAGTTATGTGTATACAGAAGTATAGTTCAAAGCTTATAACTTCATAAATTTCTCTGTTAACAAATTTATAACGAAATTTATATACTATACAAACTCGTGTTAGTCAATACTATGGGGATAAGGAATAGATGAAATCCAAAGAATTTAAGCTTATATCTTATTTTCATTTTCCTGTCTATGCAGAAAAGATATACAGTTCTCATATTAAAATGAAAACTATCAGGGGAATTGTGGTGCATCTTATCCTATGTGGATTTATTTTCCATCAAGTACCTTTAAACAAATAAAATTTCATTGCAGATTAGTAACTTTTATTAGGCGAAAAAATTTACTTCACAGTAAATCACTATCAAGGGAGATGAGTAAACTCAAAATGACTTCATCAGTAGCATTAAATTAACCTCTGACATTGTATTTTTTTGTACTTTTGTATTTTGATTATAACTTGATTCCACACAACACTTTTCGTACAAGTATGAAATTTTCAGCCCAAATTCTGCAATCTGTCCGATTTGGCAGAGGATCCTGACGTTAAATGCTCCTATATGAAGTTGGCGACGTGGCTTTAAAAGGCTATCTGGGGTGTTTCTATGGCTCTCACCGTTGTTTGTGGTCACAGAGTGAAGTGAAAAGGACTCACTAGCCTGCAGAATAGTACTAACTGTAGTAGAGAAGCAAGATGAGGAAGGTGATGTGAGTAAAGGAGAATGGTGCTCAGGAAGACTTCGTGTGCTTTTGGAAGTGTGTGGGCGGTTGTTACTTCCCGCTTGCCCACACCGTGGAAGTTGATTGATTCTTTGGGTACCTGAAACAGAGTTAGTGTTGCGTGACCGCAGAGCCCAGGGGACAACTGCTTGAGGCCGGTCACACACGGCCTCGGATTGGTTCCGTATTAGTAAACTTACCGCCGGTTACGGACCACCGTAGGGTAAGTCGGGATGTACAATTTTTGGGGTCGACCTTTTCTAACCCCCTCTCTCCGAAGTGGAGAGACAGCATAGCTGGCATGCTGGTCATCTGAGGGAAACACCTCACTGCTGTTACATCCCTTTTCCCCAGCAGTACGATTTCGCCCTCAGACCCCCAGCATAGTGTAAGAGAGATTCTTACACAATGCCGGTAACTGCTTTTAGTCTAATCACTAACCTAACAACCTTCCTGGCACGGTAGGACCTGCAGGAACAATAGTTCCAGCCAGTGCAGCTTGTTGGGTCATCGCGATGTGCAAGCCCGACCACCACGTCAAGGTAGCAGCTATCGGTCGGGAAATTCTGCAGGCAGACCATTGATATCAAGTGTGCGTCGGCAGGGGATCGAACCCCGGACCATGTGCATGGTCGGCGAGAGTCCTAACCGCTGTGCCACCGACGCACAGTTTTATGTATCAACAACAGCATACTGAAGCATTAATACTTGGCCTAAAGATTAACAGTGTTTAATCTTAACTTTTCTGCATTAGGTTTTCAGTGTATGGCATTGTAGTAGGATATTTATTCATACAAAAATGTCCCTTTGAAAGCATAATTTAACAAATAAGAATATTTATGTGCACATGTTTTACTTCTACATTCACCAATAACAACAGTTTGACACAAATTCAGTATAGGCTTTTTGCTAGAAAAGAAATGGTAAGTAATATCAAGAATGTGTAGAATTTAGCTAAACATGATTTCCATAAAAACAGTATGATTCTTTTCAAAGTAAATAGAAATGTAAGCCTTATTTGTAGTAAAGCTCCTAAATGGCTTTTAGAAAATCTTTGAAATTCAACTACAACAAAGGAAAAGAATCTATTGGAATAAGAATAAAATGTCTTTAAAGTAGACCAACTGAGAGCGTCGTACAGCATTTATCTGGTTCAATCTGTCTGTCAGTGGTCGCAGAAAATTTTAAGGAGCTCTGTGTAGACGACACATTTGTCACCATTAAGTCGACACCATATTCAAGGATAACTACAGTCCTTTTAAAGATGTTTATTTCAAAGTCATGTACAGAGGAATAACTTTAACGACTTTAAAGAAAGCTGATATACCTCTTCACTTTATTTCACTATAAGGTAGTTTCTAGTGTTATTGTTTTGTTATCTTTCGTGTATACAAACCTCAGTATAATCATTTATACACTGATAGTGATTTAAAAATATTTTTCATATTAAATAATAATAATAATCAATTCTTTTTGATAATTTCGCTTCTCTTAAGGAACTTGTAATACTATTTTGGTTTTTCGCTGAATATTGTTTACGTCTATGGAGTGCTGGATGTAGATCCAGGTATCAGACATGGCGTGGAAGGTTGAATTTTGCAAGAAGACCTTTTTGTATAGTTGGTAAGTCAGTCAACAAAAATTCTTTGTGAAATTTAAAGTATACAAGATTATAATACTAAAATACAAATTAATGTTTGAAAATTCGTTTTGTGCATTTAGATAATGATGGATTTTCTATAGTTTGGTTTGTAAGCGTTAGTTATGTTTTTACGAGTTGATCACGGATTGATATCAGTTAGAGAACCATTGAAAACCAGGGAGTACTCGATGGCTGCTGTTTCATCCTAGTTTGGGAATCATCGACAGTACGCACCCACCAGCAGAGTTCGAACCAAGGACCTTCCGGTTACAAGGCAAGCTGTCGTATACCATTCAGCCACTGGGACCCAATTCAATGGCCAGTCCATGAATTCTAACTTCTACCAATTCGTGATTTAGCGCGACCCCAACCATTGTCGTTGGTGGGACATCCATCCACACACGTGACATCTAGATGGACCTCACTAGTCACGACTTCTCACTAGTAATTCAAGGAACTCCATCCTATAGCAAGTCACTAGCGAGCATCAGATTAATTTTCATTGGTTGGAGTCGCGCTAAATCACGAACTGGTAGAAATTAGAATTCATAAGCCATTGAATCGGGTCCCAGTGGCTGAATGGTGTACGAGCTTGCCTTGTAACCGGAAGGTCCTGATTTCGAACCCTGCCGGTGGGTGCGTACTGCCGATGATTCCCAAAGAGCTAGGATGAAACAGCAGCTGTCCAGTACTCCCTGATTTTCAATGGTTCTCTAACTGATATTAATCCGTGATCAACTCGTATATTGATGGATTATTTGTCCTGTAAATTTTATGAAAATCAGTAAGTATTCATGAATACTCTCCATCCAGATATTAATGAAGACAAAACACGTAATTCAGCGAAGAGTCTCTTTTCGGCGAATTCATTCACTAAGCTGTACAATCGCAATTATATATACTTATTTTTCTAGGTGTATGTATATTAGGTTTGTCCGATAAGAATAAAAATAAGTTAGGGTTATTGTTGTCAAAACATTTCAAAAATGTGTTGAGTAATCAAATTGTAACTAAGGGGAAGGAGTTAGGATTGGTAAGAGGGTAGTGGTGATGTGTTGTCAAAGGAACATATTTATTGACGTTAATCAATACACAAAGGAAGTTGAATAGGCGTAATACAGTTACGCAATAAGATGAATAATTTAATGAGTGAGTTGTCATTAGAATGCACATAGAAACAAAGGAGAAAACGGAATTATGTAAGAGTCCTAAAAATTACAAATGTTATAAGGAGTTAGAAAAAACCAGTAAAAGTCGACATGGTTGTTACCATGGTAACATAAATGGTTGGACGATTTCCTTTTGGTGTACATAACTGTGGTTTTTTCAACTGATTGGCTAGGGCTTCAGCAATTTTTTGTTTGATTATTTTGTTTCTCTGGTAAAAAATATCATAAAAATACAAAGGATGAGTTGACTTAGTCTGTGAAAATATGTCTAACGCTTTACTTAATGAGTAAAAAAGTAATTTAACTCACGCTGAACAATTACTTGTTTCTGATTTTCCTCTGGGTTATTTGAACTGAAATGTTCAGCCTCCTAGTAAAAACGCTTCGGTGAAATGCTCATCCTGGATCCCGACGCTAGTCTTTACCTACCAGACTATTATTATTTTCCTTTAATTCCTAGAGGAACATAGGGCTTCAACCGTGCGTCTCCATTGCGTTCGGTTCTCTGCTAGTCTTCACCTGGCTCCAAGTCTGCCCACACGCTTTCATCTCCTCTTCACATGACCTCCTCCAAGTCACCCTTGCACTGACGACCAACTCGCCGCTTCCCTTTCGGGTTCCACTCGAGCAATGGCTTGTCTAGTGATGTCACTTGATGATTTCCTCAGAGTATGGCCAATCCATCTCCATTTCTTCCTGCTTATTTGTTAGACAATCGGTTCCTGGTTGGTTCGCTCCCAGAGATCCCTATTGCTGATCTTTTCTGGCCATCTGATCTTGAGTATTGAGCGAAGACAGCTGTTAATGAAGGTCTGTAGTTTGTTTGAGGTGCTCTTTATGACGCACCAAGTCTCTGATCCGTATAGTAGCACTGACTTCACATTGGAGTTGAAAATCCGGATCTTATTTTTGATGCTGAGTGCTGTTGACCTCCACACAGACTTGAGAGTAGTGAAAGCTTGTCTTGCTTTTCCGATCCTTGCTTTGATATCCTCGTCAGTTCCGCCTACCTACCAGACTACCTCAAGTTAATTTGCAAACATCATCGAAACGTCTGTACTAGGAGCTGATTAACAGCAGAGGCCGAATATTTCAGTTCAACCAATCAATGGGAAGTCAGAACTGAATTAAAAACTAATAACAGCCAATATCCACTACAAAAAGGTGGTCTGACAGATAACGCTTTGGCGGTTAAAACGATCGTTAGTGGATTCAAGTCCCAGTGGAAACATGGTGACTCAGTGAGAAATGGACGTACATTGAAACGATGAGTACGTAACAGGAGGAGATGTGCATCCTGGATTCCTTCGCTAGCCACCCTCCACCACATGTTCCTGAGTAAAATTGTGGAATGTTATTATTATTATTCCCTTGGGTTTCTAGTGGAACATACGGCTTCAACTACACGTCTCCACTTGCTTCTGTCTTCTGCTGTACTTTTCACTTGCATCCATGTTAGTCCATACTGTTTCAACTCCTCTTCACACGATCTCCTCCATGTCACCCTTGGACGTCCCACTCACCGTTTCCCTTTTGGGTTCCACTCGAGCATTGGCCTGACGCGCGATGTCACCCAGTGGCCTCCTCAGCGAGTGTTCAATCCATCTCCACTTTCTCCTGCATATTTGTTGAGCGATTGGTTCTTGTTTTGTTTGTTCCCATGGTCTCTTGTTGGTGATTCTTTCTGGCCATCTGATCTTCAGTATAGAGCAAATTGTGGAATGTACAGATTAAGAAATTTCAAAACTAAATTCTATTGATAAAGACCAACAGTAAATTGTCTCACTTCTAACCCACAGAAATAGTGATTAGCTCTCAGCGCACAGGCTTCACAGTCTCTCAATATTATGCAGTTGCAACCTATATAATTTTGCATATCATGTAAATATATTTATTGCTGATAAAATTGCATTTCGTGACAGTTAATTTCAACAAAGTAGGGAGAGGTGATTTGTGAAAATGGAGATCAAGGTTAGTAGTGAGATACTGAGGTACATAAATTATAAGATTACTCAAGTGATTGCGCAATCTATTTGTCCAAATACATACATAAATATGAATACATATATCCATAGAAAGTTGTTAATAAGGAACACACGAAAAGCTTCTTGAGGGTTATATCGACAGAGTATCCCTGAAAATTAAGCGCTACACGTCTCACTAACTCAAAAAACATTATCTCTGAAAAACAGATAAACACAAAACTATTCATTTTGCCTCTCAGACTGAAAAGAGCTGTCATCCTGTAGTTTAAACAGTGGAATTGATGTTAACGGATTTGTGGTACTTTAATTTTCCACTGTTCTGAGGAAAACGTCATTCCTTTTACAAATTTTGTTGAATTTAGACTGAAATATGATTAATTTTATTTTACTACTTATATTTGGTCCTGCCATGAAGAAATACGATATATGACACAGACCTGAACAACAACCAATTTTTGATATTTTGGGTTCTTATTATTTCTTATAAAAGTGCCTCAATTATTTAGTTAAAATTAGATTTTCCCGTCGATTGATTGGACCGAAGTGCTCGGTCTCTATCGATCCAGTCAGTCGACGGGGAAATTCTAAATTGAATTAAAGAATTATTAAGACCCGTTGCACAAGAGATGGCTCTCGTGGCCCAAGTGGTCTAGTGAATAACGCTTTGGTGTTCGAAACTATTGACACTGGGTTCGAGCCTCGGTGGGAACACCATTACTCACTGGGGAATGCAGGTACATCCAGACGACGACTTCCGAAAATATGATGAAATGCGCATCCTGGATTCCACTGCTAATCACCATCCACCAGTTGACTAAAAATACATCCAGTTTAAACATTGTTTCAAACTAAGAATCACTTCATCGTAGGTTTCCCAGAATGACTGAGAAAATATATCAGACACTTCAGTACTTCGACTATGTAAAGATTCTCTCACAAATTAAAAGTCATTGTGAACAAAGAGATTTCTCACTTTTGCTATTATCTTTTGAATCTTATTTCTTACATATATCAAGATCACGCTGATAGCTTATACGCATGTCTTCAAAATGTTTTGAAAGCCGAAGTTTTTATTCATACATTTAGTAGAAGGTTGCACCAAGTATATCGAGGTTACATTTCTATGGATAGTATAAAACGTTTACTTTATCAGATTTCAATTTCAAGATAAAGTACAGTATAGTTATGAATGAAACGTAGATGCGATTTCAGATCCTATACAAACGTTAAGACAAATCACATGGAAATCTGGGATTATTTATTTAAATAAGGCATTAAGAAGACAAATTTCGCGAGATGATATCATTTCGTAGTTTCTTTACAACCGCTTTACAACTAACATGGTTAACAATAATAAAATAAAGTTCATGACAATTACTCAGTTAAATAAAAACAAAAGTACATACTAATGACCAGTCATATTTAGATAGGTCATGTAGTCCATGGTAGGCGAAGATTGAAGTCTATTGTTTTTTGTACACATAGTTTAGGCTGTATGTGATTAATCCAAAGTGCTTCCATCACCTTTAATAACCAACCTTGAATTAGAGTTATGTGAAATAATTGTGAAGCAGTCACTAATATTGATTTTGTGACCTGACATTAATAAGTGTTTTGCAATGGATGATGCTGGATTTCTATTCAGATTAATCGCGTTGGGATTTTCTATATGATTTAGTAGCCATTTTGGAACATGTTCTTTTCGATGACATTGGAACATTCTATTGGTTCTACCTATATAGGTGTCACCGCAGCTGCAGGTGAACTTGTAGATACAGTTTGAAGTAGAGTCCATAGAATTTCGTCCTTTAATCGTAGGTACAGGGATCGAAAATGTTCGGCAAATGAGAAAAAGAGATGCGGCGTAGAATGTGCGTTTGATGGCTGACCGAAGTCTTTGAGCTGTCAACTGCATAAAAAAAAACAATAGACTTCAATCTTCGCCTACCATGGACTACATGACCTATCTAAATATGATTGGTCATTAGTATGTACTTTTGTTTTATTTAACTGAGTAATTGTCATGAACTTTATTTTATTATTGTCAACCATGTTAGTTGTAAAGCGGTTGTAAAGAAACTACGAAATGATATCATCTCGCGAAATTTGTCTTCTTAATGCCTTATTCAAATTTATCAAAGGGACTAATTGTTTTAATTATTTATTTAAATAACCGCAGATGTGCGTATTTCATTGATATCAATGTCTACTTATATGTTTAAACATATTTTAGTGCATCCTTGACATAGATGATAAATAATTACGACATAGTTAGTAATTGTTGTAAATGTACGTTTCCTATCTGTACATTTCTCAGAAATTCCTTGTTATCATTTTAACATCATATACTCCATTAAGCCATATTTTGTATAACCTATAATTGATCTGACAACTTCTATGAGGTGAATACAATTGCATACCAGATCAAAGTATGTGAAAGTGCAATTTCATTCCTTAGATTTTGGTGTAGGCTTGTTCTCTGAGTTAGATGGTCTATTTGTAAAATTTTCATTGCCTTTCTAGGTAATAACTTCAGCGCGGAATTCCAAATAAAGTGAACTTGTTTGAATTATCCATGAATGACTTCAACTGCTTTTCTTGAGAAGCTTGTTTAAAAATACGATGAAAGTTTTCCGAGTAAATCATTCGCCTCAGAAGGCAAAACAACACTAATGTCATCCATCCGAACTATAAATTTTCTTCATCATTCCTGTGAGTCAGTGGCACAGAAGTAGAATGCTCTCCAACCATTCAGGTGATTCGGGGTTCAAACCCCAGCCGACGCACTCCTTTACCTCGCCAACTCAGTAATAAGACTAGTGTGGAGGGAGGGTTGGGAATGAAGCTACCAACCTCATACCATAAAAATAAATACCGCTACTACCTAAACTTCAGAGCTGCAGCTTGAAACCCTATGTTCCACTGGGGGAACGTGAAGGAATATAAAAGAGATTTATCGGATAAGATTATCATTCACAAATAAGTATTATTGAAGACATTTTCTTGGTCACTATGCTTGTAATGCTCAGATATCTTACCTATACCACCATTTATTTTCTTCTAAAATAATCTTTTAATAAAAAATCTATTTCCTAATTTTTCATAGATGTAATTGTCATAGTCGCCAGTGTAATAGTCTTGGCTGTAGACAGCGACAGAAATATGTTTGCTGCTAGTGCACTTAGAGGATTGAGATTTTTTCAGATTTTGCGTATGATACGTATGGATCGTAGAGGTGGATCATTTAAATTGCTAGCATCTGTTGTATGGGCACACAGACAAGTAAGTAATTTCATATGATAGTACTATTATTGTTATTATTACTAATTCTTATAAACATTATTAGGCCAAGGAAGGATACAGGTGTTTATTTAAGCAAATAAAAATTGTTTTAAAATTTTAAAAATATCTTTAAATTGTGCATTAAATGATCATTTTGTGAAGCTTTTTATCAAAACAAAGGAAAACATTATACAAAGCACCCACACAAAGAAGTAAAAGCTTTTAGACAGAGTATGGTTAAAATAGCTACACTTCTGAAGGACATTGTAATGATCCAAGTATTATGGTCTGAGCACAGGATACCAATCTGTGTGTTCTACTCTGTAGGTAGCCCGATTTTCCTTGAATCACGCGCAGTACAAAAATGTCCCAATGATAGAAAAAAGATAATTGTTTACGGTAAAATGGGCGGTACTTTTTACCAATAAACTCAAAATTACCTCAACAATGACGTAAGGCATCTATACAGATCAGATAATTTTTCAGTACAAAACAAGTAGGGTGGAATAAAATTAGGTAATTCAAGTCAATCGTTAGAAGTACCCGGAAATCAAGTAGAATATGTCCAACAAGTTTGGAATACAACTCTGTTAGCAAGAATCACGCACCAAACAATTCTCGCAGACGGTTCAATTTCAGAATTATCTTGTTTCACTCAAACAAAGTCACAGTCGCAAAATAACACCTCATCAATATCATTTCACACAACAACAAAGAGAAGCATTAAAGTTTGAGATTGAACAGGACTAAAGACGGATAACAGGGATGATATGCGAATGCCAGAACATTGATAAACAGTCTAGAAGAAAACGGATAATAATTATAAAGGTAGTTGAAACACCTGAATTAGTATCAATACTTTTCAGTTAGCTCGCTGAAGAGGGATTTTTCAAACAATTATTCCATTGTAAGCACCCCTTAACACTTTCTGAATTTGCGATACATTGAGTTAAGTTGTGATTTACAGTTGCGGCTCATAATGTACATAATAATTCACGTTAAGACACTCAGTGGTGATCACAAGTTATCAAAAATTAACAGTATATGGATATTACGAATTAACACATTATGTCTCAGGGTAAAAAATGGTGACTTCGTGGCCTGTTGATCTGATGCCTGTAAAATTCATTTTTCTGAAGAATCCTGAGCTTGCATTACTTAGTGGTTGTTGTGTTTTCCTTCAACTGAAAATGTGTTTGTCGATATAGGTTTGTTGTTTAATTAACACAGTTTATTTCATAATCATCTGCATTCACTAAAATATAATTTATTCTGACAGTAGAATCCAGGATGCGCATGTCGTCTTGTTTGAAACTTGTCATCTGAATCTACTTGCATTCCCAATGAGTGGTGATGTTCCTACTCAGATCTAAACTCTGCACTCACTGTCTCAATGAAACCACTGTCACTCACTGGAAATGCAAGTATATCCAGCTGACAGATCTTAAATATGACTAAATGCACGTCATGGATTTCATTCCTTGTCACCATCAACTATGATAACTTCACACTCATCCTTGTACATCGTCAAAGCGCCCATACTAAAAGCTGACATGTCAGTTGAGTTCAAGCACTTTGGTCCGATATAATCAACCAACAGGAATTGCAAGTTAACCTAAAAATAAACAATGTTTTTTAACTCCCTTAATTTAATCAAGTCCTGTTTTTTTAACCCATAAAACGCGTATAGATATAAATTTTCGAGGGATTTCATAATCCCACTATATTTCCCTTCCTTCAGTGACTTAGTCTATTTATGCAGTGTGGAAATCGCTCATGTCACGGATGCATTCACCGCATATACACCTTAACATTCAAAAAAGTGAATTAATCATAAAATACGTGATACACACATCGCTCGATATCTACACACTGCAGCTATTAAAAAAGTATTCTGATGTCTGAAAAATATTCAACTCCCTTGCAAAAAGGCAACTTGTCTTAGGCTAAACAAACACTATTATCAACAGGTTATGAATATTTTAAATTCCCTATGGTTTATATAACAGCATCAAGACTAAACAGCATCATGAATAATTAAAATATAATGACAATGTGAATGAATACTTAGGTACAGAAATATCTTCGTATCACTACATTTTTGACAATTAGAATCTCACTCAATAGCATCACAAGAACATCTAAGATAGCCTAATTGGAAATACATAGAAGCTATATAAGAAAACGTGCGTCGGTGGCATAGCGGTTAGGACACTCGCCGACCAGGGGGGTTCGGGGTTCGATCCCCAGCCGATGCACTCCTTTACCCCGCTAGGCCAGAAATAATGCTGGTGTAGAGGAAAGGTTGGGTATGAGGCTAGCAACCCCATCCTGTAAAATGAACACAGCTACAGAAACTTCAAGCCACTAGGCCTATGTTCCACTGGGGAACGTGAAGGAAAAAAAATATAAGAAAACGCAAATGTCATGCGATAGTACATAGTATTCCAATAGCTAGTTTCTGTGATCATTAAAATATATCAACAGTTTAATATCATACTATTTTGCTTGCTTGATTGATCACCATTCATGGTATCAAGCAGACGAAATGTTTCAAGTTTGATGTCAGTTATAGAAACATTGGAAACCAGGGAGCACCGGACAGCTAGTATGAAATAGCTCTCTTCAGTACTCCCTGGTCTTTAGAGGTTCTATAACTGACATTAAACCGTGACCAAACTTGAAACAAATCAAACCCCTAAGAACTAATTCTCGAAAACCACTTATTACACGATTATTTCAGCTTACCTTCAGGAAACTATATTGGTTCTTTGGTTCCAGCGGCGCAAATTATGAACCTGATCCTATATCCACTGAAGTGGTTAGTTAGACTTCAAGTGGTTTAAGCTGATTCAGCCTTCTGAGTTCAGCCCACCTGTACACACCACCGATGAACGAAGTTGTGAAATAGCGTAACAACCGCCTAAGATGTAAAACTTCTAGAACAAGCTAGCAAGCAGTACTGATTGACGTGACTGTCTTCTAACTACTCTAATCAATCAAAGAGGATACACAACATCTAGATGACAAAATTTTACTAACGAGTAAGGTGCATTTCCGATTCACTCATTCATTCATTTATAAACCTTTTACGTGACATACTCTTTGTTTTGGAATAGAAAAATCAATCGAATATGCATTGTCCCCTATCCTTTATGCCATTGTTTACTTCTGGGCGAATTTTTCTTTGCTTTTTCTTTGTTTTTTCGTCTTTCCTGTTTTCACCGTTCTTGTATTTATCAATATATAATATATACATTTATATATATGCGGACGTATGGCTTGTAATTATCTGATTTCATTTTTCTTATTTCTCTTATTTTCTCTCTTTTTCTTGTTATGCAGGAATTATTCACAACTGTATATATTGGATTTTTAGGTCTGATATTCAGTTCATTCTTAATATTTCTAGTGGAGAAAAAAGAGAATGAGAAAATTCGTACCTATGCTGATGCTTTATGGTGGGGTGTAGTAAGTTTATCTATGAAGAATATCTTAATTTTTCTGTAATATATGTATATATATATACGTTTATTTATCTTAGTAAACTTAGTGATCTTATCCTACTAGCATTTAGATGGAGAGCGAGCGAATGATTGTTTCATTTGTTTATTTTCAACAATCGCTTACTAAGAGCATATTTTTTACAGAAATACTAACTACCAGCATCACAAAGGCAGTTAGTTACTGCAATTGTACAAATCCATGCTTACTTCTTACAACGCACATTTGTTTTCATTTTGAGGTTGCTGTTGTTGTTAATGTCATCAGAATTGAATACGAACAAAGCGAAAATAGTAATTTCCATTTTTAACTACAAATGACTTTCTCTGACCTAGTAGACAGATTTTCACCACTCCTAACTGCTAATAATATGTGTGTTTATATACATATGTTATCAGAGAAAATACATAACAAATGGATAAACATTTTGACATGCTTTTAACTAGGTTACAAACATAACCACTAAGATATGAATAGATCTTTATTGACAGAGTTAACGAAACCTAGGATCCGTTTTGATTTTTTTTATTTATTCCGACCATCAAAGGAACTGAGGGTTTTAAATCTCTTTTCTTGTACTTCATAATGAATAGTTATGGCATTTTTCAAGAGATAAATGCAGTACAGTTAATAATAGGACCTGAAAACGTATCATAAATTTCCTTTTCAAATGAAAGTTTCTCACGAACCGTTTTCAGTTAATGAATCACTGAAACTGGTGCGGCAATGAATATCTGCTTTGTTCTTACCATGCACCCTTATGTTGTAAAGTTCAGAAACAGATGTTTTTCTTCATTTAAGGAAGGATACATGAATGATGGTTTTACATTCTAAATTGTATTAGACGGATAGCTGTGGAATACAAGGAAATTACGCTACTCTTTATTCTGCCTTGTAGACAACTGTATACTGAAAGATCTTTTCCCATTGAGCTACTACAATGAAGGAATCTCAAATCGAATCACATATTTAGTGAAGTGGGGAATTTCAAACCGAAAACATTACTGTCCAGCGAATCAACATACGGAGAAAGCTACTTCATTTGGAATTATTTTATCTTGAGTTAAATTAATTAATTATATATGTATATTTGTATCTATATATGTACTCATTCCCTAATACTTTTCTCCCGTTAAATCCTCACTAGATAACACTATGCACAGTAGGTTATGGTGATAGTGTACCACAATCTGGTTTGGGCAAAACTATTGCAGGATGTTCATGTTTGGCTATAATATCATTCTATGCATTACCACCGGTAAGCTAAGTCCCTCTAATTCACTTCCTACAACAAAAATACAAAAATTGGATAGAAAGAAAGGTTGTAGAAGAAAATTTAAAGTTTTGGAGCTATATATCAACAGTTGTCCGCAAAATTAAAGTAACATTTAAAAGTGGCGGTGAAAAATGTCGAAAATACACTCGTTTTAAACAATTTAATTTCCAGTGTGATATATTTGAAAGTTACACTATACAGAAATATCTGAAGAACATCTGTAACACCGATAGAAATTTAGATTTATATCAATAAATGGCTAATTCTTTCGCATATATTAGTGATCTAATTTAGAGATAATTACAGACCTTGTGTAAATGACCTAATTCATGACAATAAACAGCAAAATAAAAAAAACTTCAGCTACAGACGTTAGCTTTGATTGAATAGGTCTTTCAGGTAGATGTAAATGAGGAAAATCAGAAAAGTACGGGTAATTAGAAATCCTTTTCATCCTTAACTTTTCTCTCTCTCTGAAATTTTCCTCAGTTTATTCTCCAGTTCTTTCTTTTATGCATATATTACACTGATGAACAGAAGAAATTACTCTCAATCTTGTATCCACTGACAGCTGGTCAACTTTTATTCCTTTTCGAAAAAAAACCATCTAGGGTAAATCTTGATCTAATCATAAAGAATTCTATGGTAAACGTAGTTGATCTGTTTTTCTGACAAATGTCACATAATTTATTGTGCTTGTATAAATATTGGGATACATTTATTACGAACACTTAAGTGACTGTCATAGCTTAAGCTAAATACTCGTTATTTTTTCAATTACTTTACAGAACATAAACATTAAGTTAAACCTTATTGGTATGGTGCTTAAGGAAGTTAATAAAGGAGAACATTTGTAGTTCAGATGGATATTTTTGGTGTTGCCTTTTTCACCTAACATTTACAGTTTAACTGCAAATGTTCAATCTTCACCGATGGCTACATATTCAGTGTATTTTATTTTAAGTTAGCGCCAGTTCTCAGTTTATTAATTGAGTTCTCTGTCTAAAATAATCATCGTATGTTAAATGAATATTAGTTATCCTACGATTTTTATGTACTCTCTTACTGTGTAGCTTAAAAGAAATGATCATTTATTATCATTCTCTTGGGTTCAGAGTGGGACGTAGGGTTTCAGCAGTACATGTCCATATTATTCTGTTCTCTGCAGACCATTTTAGCTGGCTCCATGATCGTCTGTAAGCTCTCACATCCTCCACACACTATGTCCTCCATTTCACCCTTGGACACACTCTCAACTCGTCGTTTCCCATTCGCGTTCCACTGTAGAACCTGGCACGCAATGTGACTGAACGGTCTCCTAATCGTGTGTCCAATCCATTTACTTCGACGTATTTATTGGGTAATGGCTTGTTGACAGGTTCGTTTCCATAGTTTCCTGTTGCTTATTTTTCCTGGTAACCTGATCTTCAGTATGGAGCGAAGACAACTGCTTATGAAAGATTGCAGCCTGTTGCCAATGCTTTTCGTGAAACTCCAAGTCTCTTCACCATATAGAAGAACTGATTTGACATCGGTGTTGATTTTTACTACTTCCCTTCTCATATCTAAGACACAATGAAGGCATTTGTAATAAACTTCTACCATAGCTGTATGTTTATAGCATTGCCACATAAAAACAGATCGTTTCTATAATTGATTTATGTGGTTCGACTAAGTCAGCTTTATTCAAAAATGACGAAAAATAAACTGAATTTTGATGATATTAGATGGTTGGAAGCGATCGGCAGGAAGCCTTGAACCTAGGTTTCGTGCTAGTTGGCACTCACCAGTCAGCAAGGCGTATCTGCAACCTTGAAGGAACTCATGTCCCTTCTGAGATTCGAACCCGCGCCACCCAGTGCTGCAGTCAGAGACGTTACCATTGAGCTATTCGGGCTCGTGATTGACTCCCTGTTGATTGCCTCCAACCATCTAATATCATCAAATCAGTGTGCACCGTGATGGCGAGCTACTTAGACTGGTGAACACATTACAAACCTGACTGATAGAATTCAGTCTACACCAAATAGGGGACTAGACATATCACACTGGTTACTAATTAGTGTCCAGTCAAACTGAATTTTCCTTACTTCTTCCTCATCTTGGTCTTAAAACGACTGCAAAAATAATTAACACTTACTTCACCAGAATGTGGTCTATGTGTCTTATCAGGGGAACTAAAGGTGCTTTAAATTTATTTCACATACAATTATAATAATAATAATAGAAGTGATTTTGATGCAGAAATAAAACATGTTGGCAAAATATCAAAAAAATGGAACACTTTCTCCACATGTTATTGGTTTTTTAAAGGAACACATGACTGACAATCTTCTTCAAGAAAGTTTATCTTTTTCTGGGAGAAATAATTTCTTATTTCAGGATATTCTAACCCTTAAGGATTTTTAGAAGTTATTTTATTTGGTAAAGATTTATGAACTACTACAATTATTTACGAGCAATTGTTGTAGCAAATGAAATACACAATGTTTCGTTTTATAGAGGAAATTCTGGCCACTGGCTTCATCCTAGTAGTAGGGATCTTAAGGTTGGTGTTCTCATCAGTGTATGAATGAATTTCAGAACAAGTCGATAGTTTAACAGTTAACATCACACTATCTTAAATGTATACTGTTCTGAAATAATGCCTCAATCATTACAGTATAATCAATCAGGCGGGATAATACCATGTATACGAACAGAGTGGATGTTCATAAATTTAGGGAGATTCAGTGTGGGAGGTTGTTCACTGAATTTTTGTTTATCAAAGTATTTAAGTACGATTCGCCATATTGGTAGAAAAATTTCAGGTATGAGAAACCGTTTCATTAAATTTAGAAACGCTTAAATGGGCAAGTTCAGTAATGAGATGGATGAGGAATAGCTTAATGGGAAGAAAAATGTTGAAGACAAGCTGATATAGTCATCAGTAATAATCCGTTTTGTTACAGGATTTCATCATCAGCTGACATCGGTTAGAGAACCATTGGAAAGCCTGAAAGTACTGGACAGCCGCTCAGTCCTAGTTTGGGACTCTTCACAGTACGCACCCACTGGGTTTCGGACCCAAGGTGAGCTCGTAGACCATTAAGCCACTGGAACCCGATCCAATGGCCCATGAATTCCAATTTCTGCCAATTCACAATATAGCGCGACCGCTAGCCAATGTCTTCGGGGAGTATTTGTCCTCACACCCGACCTGCTGCACCCTACTGGTCACGACTTCTCACTAGATTCTAGGTAACCTGAATAGGGCCAGTCGTTAGTGAGCATCTTATTGATATTTAATTATTGGTTTGTGGGCATTTGATTGATTGGTTAAACGATTTCATCATAAGCTGACCCTGTGGGTGCGTACTGATGGAGAGTCCCAAACTACGGCTGAACGGCTGTCCAGTACTCCCAGGTTTTCCAGTGGTTCTCTAACAGATGTCTGCTCATGATGAAATCCTGTAACCAATCAATCAAATCCCTACAAACCAATATTTGAATGATAATTTGTTTTTTTGAACGTATTGACTAAATAATAATACATAACTGTTTCTTATATTAAACAAATTATTCTAGAATGTCATCGTAAATCATGTTTCAAAAGATACTAGTTTGGAAATGACTTCACGCAAACCAACTGCATCCTATTCTGTTGGTATTCTTCATGAGTTTATAACAAATTATTGTACTGTGAGAGTTTGAGATTGTAGTTACATTGCAAATTTATTCCATATTCAAACTTATTCTTTTTGACTCATTAACATGATGTATAACACGAATTATCCTCCACTAGTCACTTTATTATATTGCCAATGTAATGTTCCTAAAATGACGAAAAGTAACATGCTAAAACACGTATAATCTCAAGCTGATGTTACCTAAACAGAAAGATAAAACAATATATCCTACCGGTATTCACTGCAATATATTACTATCGTCAATGTTTCCTTTCACCAGAGACAGACAGTGATCTATTAAAACCCATAGATATTGATAGAAAATAATATTTCATGACTGTGAATCTAGATGTCAGGTTGATATAATTCCCATATGACCCTGTTCTGAAGAGAAACGGATTTAAGCACGAAGTCCAGTTGGACGTCATAGGTCTAGTCCTTCGTTTAGTGCATACGGAATTCCATCAGTCATATCTGCTGTGTGGCCACAAAGCTAAGTGGTCCGCTACCACAGAAAATTCCGAATTGTTGCTAGATGGTTGGAGGCGGTTGGCAGAAAGCCTTGGACCTAGGTTTTGTATTTCCTGGCACTCATCAGCAAGGCATATCCTCACCTTCGTAACGCTGTCGAGATATTTACAAGATCAACAATACAGATTTTGTAAACTTTGACCTTATAGAAACCGAGCACACGGCTAACCTATATTTTAACTACATTTTTACACTTAGTCATCGAATATTATTATGATTTTCAGAAGACTGAAACACTGTGAGTAATACAAAGAAAGGTACACCATTTTCCATGAAACTGGAAATATGTATACTTAAACTGAGCGAATATCTTGCAAACACACAGTTTCCTAGGATTCTTTACTGTTTACCTGCAATTTTTATAATTATGTTGTGAAAAATCTTTCATTTCTGACCATAAAACTCCAGCAACCAGTGGAACGGGATAATTCTCATCCTATAATTATTTTATACTCATCTTTGCCAACAATGAGTCTCCAATTACTAAAACAATTTGATATGATATCCCTGCAAGGATCATCTTTCAGATTCAGTCATGGTAACTTGATTCATGCTGTCTAACCAACTGTTTCGGACCGCTTGGATGCTTAATTGTTGTTTAGTTCTTATCTTACATGAAATTTTAATTACTGCCATAAGTAAATAGGAAAATTCAGCAAAATATTTGCTTCATTTTCTCCAGTGTAGAAGGACCACACCCACCTTTAATCAAATTTAAAGGATGTTAAACCAATCTTGGCTTTCAAATTTAGTTTTCTAATAAAGCTGAAAGTTCGGATCATT